TTTAAAGCATGTCATTATATTTTTTCCTTGCATTTATTTTCCTGGCAGATACTGCATATGCCAAGAATAAAATAAATGGAAAATGGTACTACTTTGATGATAGCAATGTATCTCCAGCTTCTGAAGAACAAATAGTGGTAAATATTTCAAATAAATCAGACCTTTTCCTGATAACTTCTAAAATTTAACAAATGCAGCAAGTTAAAATGGCACTACAGATTATTTTCTACAGAAAACAGAATCTACCTAAAACCCATTAGGAACATGGGGTTAGCTGCAATTCTTCAGACTAATCTCTCAACCTGTGCACTGATTAAGTGATAGGATGCATGGCCCCATTATTTTCGTGATTGTGACATGCCCCTTCTCGCTTCTTCAGGTGGTCAGGGGATCTTTATGAGCTGGATCTGGGAATGGTCAGCATTTCTTTGGGGGTGGTGATCAGTGGTGGTATTCTACCGGTTTCGGCCTGGTTCAGCCAATAATAGGATGGAAATGTCATTTGTTGTTCCATTCAATTACCTTTTTGTGACTTCGATTTGAAGAGCATACTTTTTCTGGTCTTATCTGACCTCTCAGCAGCAGGCAGCAGGCAGTACCATCAACCATTATACAATTCTATACCCCCTGCAAAATTTGGGAGATGAAGACAGAGTGTTTCAGTGAGTTGATGATGATTATTTAGCAAGAGACTGTTATGGTTTGGCTGAGGTTGAATCTTAGGAAAGCAGAGTTATTGTTTGTTCAGAAGGGCTCTCTGTCAGCTCTGGTAACTGGTTGGGAAGGCACTCACCTTGAAGAAGGAAGCTTGCAATAGGGAGATCTTCCTGAATGGAAGCAGCAAGATCAAATTCAACCTTAGAAAGTTTATCAATAAGTCCTTGGTCCTTCCAATTCTAAGGAATTTGGTCCTGTGAGGGAGTAGCCACATTTCAATAGTGGTTGCACTTAGAGGAGGCTGCCAGAGAAGATGTCAAGACTTCTGTGTAGACATGTATATGTATATTTCAGAGATTAGAGTCCTGGAGCTTTATAGGCTAGTTTCATTACAATTTTTCTGTTAGGTATTGATTTTTTTATATTTTCAATCATTTTCTTCCAGACAAAGGCAGCATATGTACTGTTTTACCAGCGCAGAGATGTCAAGCTCAAGGGGACCCATTCTTTTTGCCCAAGCATGGAATCAGAATCTGAAGAATGTGATGGCATGGATACTAATTGAATTTGTGTGGATATTATCTAATATAAAAATATATCTGAGGACTTATTTTGAACCCCTGTAGGCTACTGGACAACGCAGGATGCCTCAGCACTGAAAAATAGAGGAAGCAATAAGATGGCAAACTTGGGCATATTCTCTAACCTAAGAGTTTTTTAATCAAATTCTATCTTAACTGTTCAATAAAATAAAATGTTGTCTAAATCTGATTTTGTATTATGAAGATTGTGTGGAATTAAGAACTGCTATATGACTGGAGCAATGCACGTTAAGAAAAAGATGGCTGTGTTGGCTTGCAACTTCAAATTGTGTAATTTCATGCATTGTGAACAGTGTACAATCTTGGAGATATCTGTGTGCTGAGGAAGTGCAATATGTGGACATCAGCTTCAGTTTGATTAGCACATATTACCACAACATTGTGTCAATCCGTTTTGGACATGTCATGATCAGACTGTTTTTTGAGAAAGTATTTCTCCTGGTCCAAAGTCACTCACCCGAAAATTACCGAAGAAGTATTGCAAAAATAGTTTCCATATTCTCAGACTCAATGCCAATAAAGCAATCCTTTAGAAGTAATATACAGATAATATTTCTTTCCTGTAGCAATGTTCAAAAACCCTATTCTTCATGTTCATCTGATGGCAATGCTTTATGCTGTTTTGACACCTTTTCTCCACATTTATGCAATGTTTTATCAGCATCACATAAAGGTCTCAATCCCTTTCTCTTATGAAGGCCACAAAAAAAAATCCAATTATTTTGGATGTGTTTCAACCATTCATTTTATTTCCCAGCATTTTATTCCTATTTATTTGAGTAATTTCCCTTCTGTTTAGCCATTACCACATCAACTAAAAGTTACCAAAGAAAAATGGTCTTAATGTGTCTTTTTAATCCACATCCTTTTCACTAAGCCCTAATGTACTTGGTAGTAGCTTATCTATACAAACTAAGAGAGTTTTCAGTAATCCCCTGAAATGCCACGTTATAATGAAGAGATTTGTTATTAATGGAAATGGCTTTGAAATCACATTAATTCCTCCTGAAATTATTTCCTTTTTCTGTTGACAGTATGTTCCAAAAATTCATTCAACACTTTTGAGAATCATTTCTTTCACAAATAAATTTTATGTAGACTTTTCTCTGCATTCCCACAGGCTATAGTCACCAGTGACCCAATATTATTTTAGCAGAATTTATTAGATGTGATCAAATATTCTCTAGATTTTAGCAGAGGAAGAATCATTGCTGTCAGCTTTATTCTGTTCATATTCAATCTTCCAATGATTACCATACAGATTTGCAGGTGATTCTTCTAAAGCACTGAAATTATTATTTGGTTGAGTTGCTTGTGCTTCCAAATTTTTAAACTGGTTTGAGGTTTTATCTCAACTGCATATGTTTTCTTGCACATATGGGGCAGAGAAAAGGAGCTGGAATTATTTAAACGCTAATGTCAAATTACATTTTATGGTTTTGCTTTTTTCTGTTTTTCTGGGTTATAATTCTTTTAAATGTAATATTTGGAGAGATAATGAAATAAATATTTAAATGCAAAAAGCAATTTATAATTAAATATAACCTTATATATTTCTGTTGCATACTGAAGCAAAAATCTTCACTGTTTTTAAGTATGATCAGAGAGTAAGTACATAGAAGTAAGTTTCTTCTAAATGCTGTACAAATGGTATTAGGAATTTTGATTTGCCTCTGACCAGGCTGAATCTTAGCTGGTGTGTACATACTGTATAGTATCAAGATCACTTTTAGACTAGCACTGGATTGTTTTACTGTGTAAAGATAAAGAATAAAATAAAGAGGAACAGATTGCACAAAATATATTCTCTTTGGTATTTCTGTCTGGAGAATGAGGGTTTCTAGTATATCCTAGGATCTGACTCATTACTTGATTGAATAGTAATGCCTCTATCAAACCATACCAAAGGTGCAGCAACCTTTTCCCTTTAACTTGGAATATAGTAGTAGCTAGGTGCTATGTGTATGTAATTTCAGTAATTTCTGAAACTAGAATTGTAAATTTATACACCGTTTCTTGACCTTTAAGGGAGGATTTTCATTCTCTACTTCTTGGAAATTAATCTTACTAAGAATTTTGGATTGACTTAAGTCTACTTATCTCACTTCCTAGGAAGATTCGTCAATCCTTTTACAGTTTTAAGACTGTCATCTAACTGAGGCCATTTATGGAGAAAAATGACTAATAAAAATGATTATCTGAAATAGGCTTATAATGTTGAGTTATATGCAATGATTTCTGAAGCACTGGGACAAACAATAAAGATATTTCTTTTTAATATCCAGATCAGTCCTGATTAGGTTTATCAGATTCAAATAAGAAAATAATTCCTTTTATTAACTAAATAAGTAATATTTATTAATAATAAATTGCTATTGGAAAGCAGTAAGTCCCATCTTGGAGGAAAGTTCTAGTACAAACAAAGGTTCCGTGACAGTTGAAACCTTTCACAGGGAGAGGAGGGGCACCAAGCTCTTAGCTGGGAAGCTTTCAATTCAGCCTATGACTTTCTTGCTAAACAAAAGGATTTGTGCAATTGGTCTTTTATCTTGTACTTGTCTTGCAATTGGGAAGCCTCGATAAACAGGTTTGGTGGATCCCAAACTTGGATTACAAAGGGCACTGGCCTATAAAACCCTTAAAGTAGATTAGGCATCCCTTACATTTTGATGATATCGTCACAAGCGATTGCTTAGATACTTTGTATCTTATGAACAGATTATGGGATTTCTAGAGAAAGCAAAACTTCAGAAAAGATTTTATATAAGTTTAGTAAAAATAAACTTAAAGAGAATAGGGGCATAAAATTTTTGAAGCAACACAATATTAAGATAAATTGCAGATGACCACTTTTAAAAAAAGAACTATTCACAAAGCTTAGATGGGTCATTAATAAGTCTTAACAGCAATTGTGATCAATCTTTCTCCAAAGTTGCTGAGAGGGTTGCTTATGATTCTTTTTCCTTTCTCCTTATTATAATCTGATAGGTAATGATTGAGTCAGGCTGTCTCAACAGGTTGAGTGCCTGGGAGAAGATATGAAGCCATCATTTCTTGGTCAAAGTTTATATCTTCTGAATTAACTTCCAGAAGTATTTTAGGGAGACCTAGAGAAAACTAAAATTTATCTCTGGTGTTTATGCTATATTCAGATTTGTTATAAAGAATGCACTCAAGTATCACACTTAGTCATAATTCAGCAAATCACTCTAAGAGGGAGATGGGTGTCCTCCAAATTTTGAGGGAGTGTGTGGGAGAGATCAAAGTGGCCTGGTTCAGACATTGCTAAACAACTGTACTGTATGAATGTGGTATGACTATGATCAGATAAGAATTAAGCCAAAAAATTGGTTAATAATGCACTGCCACTGTTTGTAAGTTACCTGCTCCCCAAACTGCTATTATTTGGATTTTTATAAATCAATTGTTGCCATTTTCACAGCCTATATGTTATAAAGTGTGGCTTGCACAAACCCTAAATGGTCTCTATGCCATGTCCAAATACAGTGTGCATTTAGGCTAAAATAACAACATATCCTCATTGACAAAATGCTTTTGTTTATTATTGTGTTGAAAGCCATGGCTTAGAGTGAGGTATAAATCTTCCCAATTTTATATAGAGAGATGAATGACCAAACGAAGTACCAGTCTACAAGTTTTAGGAGGGGACTGGCAGAGGAATATTATAGGTTTGCTCCAATTACAACTTTCTATAAGCATTCAGACTTCTGGACAATTAGCTATTTTTCCCTTTCAGGTGAGATGTCTGAAAAGTTAAGTAGGTGCCGTAAGGAGCTAGCAGCAGCTATTGATCGAGCAATGGAAGATCTCTCCATTCCTTTCCTTCCTTCCCAAGATGCCAGCAACAACCAGGACTCTGATTTGCCAATAGTGCAACTTTCTACACCCCCTAATGTAGATATCTTTAATTCTAAGGGAGAGGTAATATCTCCAACTGTGTATTACCCCCAGCCATCTTCAGCGGTCTCTTCTCCTGAAAAAGAGAATCCCCTCCTTAGGTCAAATCTCTTTCCAGTGACGGTAACCTCGAGTATTGCATGTACCAAACGGGAACCGTTGATGAGTAAGGAAAATACATGGTTGCACTCCCCAATCTTTATGGCTGACAAGCAGTATTTAATCAGCCTACAAGACAGTGAGAGATGGAAGAAAGGACAAGTAAGGTACGCTTTGCCGTCACAGGCTTGATTTGTGATATTATATAAGAGCAGCATCTGAATTTCTTTTGACAACTTTGGCTCCTGCAAATCAAGAACAGGGTAGATAGATGCTAGAGCTGACTCCGGGCATTTTGACGCCCAAGATCAAATGGTAAAAAACAACACAAAGCAAAATCAAAGGATATGTACCATAACCTAATTTGCTGGTCAAAATTTGCTATCTCACTCAGCTCATCAACTCTGGAATATATTGCCAAGATAAAATTAGCAAACTCCATATTGGTCTCTTACCAGCAGGCAAATACATTTTATTCATTGTAAACTGAAACAGGATGAACTTGTATCAGTTTCCAGATGAAATCTCGATCGCTAAGATGCTATTTTAAGAAGACAGGCTTTGCAAGACATCCTTAAGAAGACAGGTTGAGCTCAAAACTTGCTAGAGTGGGCTCCACGGGGGTAAAAAAGGCCAGTCCTTTGAATCAATGCTCCTTATTCTGTGAAATGTGGACATCCATAACATAGAAGATGGAATTGATCATATCCATCATACGGCAGTTGGTGGTAGCCTGAAGTATAATGATGTTAAAAGGCCCCTAAATAAATGGCACAATCATTATATAACTTTTTAAAATTATCATTGCGTTGTTCATTGGTATTCTATTTTTATTAGTTTCCTACATCATGATCATTATTCAAAGAGCAAGTCACATGTTAAAAAAAACAATACAGCAGGTACTTGTTATGGTAAGGGAGTGGAGGCAAAGGTTTGCCTGGTTTGTATTTTGGTAGAGATCAACAGAATTCACAATGACCAAACTCAAACTAAGAAGCATTTCTTTAAAAAAAAAAAAAAAAAAAAGCTTTTATTTTTATAATGATGCAGTTCTTAAAAATTGTATATAAAAATATGTTCAGGTAAAACTAAGAAGACATTGAAAAGACAGTTTGGGAAAGTGCTCGGGGAGGTATCTTTACATCTTACTAGGCACAAATTATATGGGCTTATGCCTTAATGCAGGGGTGTCAAACTCATGGCATCACAGTGGCATCACGTGACTATTGGGACTTTTTCCCCCTTCACTAAACCAGGCATGGGCTTGGCCAGCATGTGATGCATCTGGCCCGCGGGCCAGGAGTTTGACAGCCCTGCCTTAATGTATAAAAATAGCTACACTGAATGAATTTGGATAGCATAACTGAAAATTGAGACATCTCTATTACTTGAATACTGGGATAAAATTCATTTTAGTTTGTGAAATTGGTTGGATTGTTTTCAAATGTTTCTCTTACAACGGGAAATGTCCTGGTCTAGTGTTCAGTTAAGGTGTTTTTATGCTGTTCAGCAAAACTGATGAACGATCCATGAAGTCAGAAACAAACCTAATTTCCTGTGATGTTCCTCCAGAAAATCCAAAGGATCATGAAGATATGTCTGCTGGTAAGCAACATTTCCTCTGTTCCATAGCTCTTTTTAAAAATTGGTTCTATGAAGGGAATTAGCACTGCATGCTTAAAGAAGCAAAAAGAATATGAACATCAGGTTTTCTGCAGAATTTTGTTTTTAATACGGATGTCAAGCACAAAATGAATGCAAAATAAGGATTTTAAAAAGCCATGCTCTGAAAAATAGCAATGGCTAATTTTGCATTGGCTTGAAAAACACAACTTTAAAAGTGGGAAGATAGAAATATGTGATGGGAAGGCCAAAGTTCCTTTAGAACTTTGTTTCCATAAATGCGTGTGTTAGATTCTTCCCTCTAGTTCAGTGGTGGCTACACACCAGAAGAGCAGCTCCCCAACGTGTGCACGTGGAAGCACCAGAAAGTGGAAGTTTAGCTTCCTGGCGTGCATGCGCGCCAGCCACCTGGTCTTCCGGTTTCTAATGCACATGTGGGTTTAAAGACTAGCTGGCTGATGCATGCATACACTCCGGGGACCTGCTCTTCCGGTTTCCGGCGCTCCCGGAAGAGCAACGGCCAATGGCTGGCATGCCCAGAGAGATGGCTCTGCTTGCCACTTCCAGCACACATGGCATAGGTTCGCCATCATGGCCCTAGTTAATTAGCTTTTCACAAACTGGCAAGCCCTCAAAATACTATATATCCCATCCACATTTGAAATAGCCAACACTGTTACAATAGATGTGAGAAGAGTTGTTGTAATGGGAATTCAGTTTGAAATTCTTTAGCTTCTTCAGAATGAGCAAAGAAACCCTCATTCTGTTATTTTGAAGGATCTGGATCAAACAATCAGCTTTTTATGCACTTTTCCCCCCCACTGCAGATGACTCCTCAGCTGTCCATCTGGGTGAGAGGAACACTTTCAGAAAGGTCCTAGAACACAGCCCAGAAGATGAAGCTATCATTGAAACCTTGTTGGATATGGAAGAGGAGTACAGATTAAACAGCTCCACCTTGCACCAGCTTCACTAGGCAGGTGGTGTAAAGTGTGAGCTATTTTTAAGATTTGGTAGTAACATTTTAAACCATGCAAGCAATCCTGACTTTTGCCAGATGCACAATTAAAGTAAGCAACTTACAATATTGGCATGAAGTTTCTTTTTTCTTCTCTGTCAGATAATGAACAGTAATTAAATGCTTTACCCTTCAAGGTAAGTTTCCATTGTAAAAAAGATACTCCATATAAGCCTTCTTGTGACATAATGATTTTGTAAATTTTTGCCAAACAGCAAACGTGCATGTCTTTAAACGAGAAAAAACAGGTTTGAATCATGGGATGAATTTCACAGAAGGAAACACAGAAGACATAAACACTAATAACAAATCTGACTGGTGGTGAAGTAAAATAATCTATTTCTTATATCTAAAAATTCATTAATGGTAGGAACTTGTGCATCTAGAGTTGATGAATTACTCAATGGTTTTCTCTGGGGAAGCAAGCTGCATGTGTGCTTTCATGTGAGACAGGAAAGAAAGGAGAGAAAAAATTGTGTAATTCATCATGATCGTAAATATATAGTTTAAAAGAACATTCCTCCATCCTCTCTAAACAGCCTCAAATTTTTATTTGGAATGAAATTAAAAGATTTGGTAGGTTTTTAGCTTTTACATGTTATCATAGCCGTTTTAGGGGTAAAATAATATTATTGACCATTGAAGAAAACAGTAGGCATCAAGATGTTCCTTATCAGATGATGATGATTATAAGAAATATTATTCTATTTTGTTTTTGGCAAAAAATAGGCCATGCGTTAAGGGCATAAATATTTTCAGCAGTTCAAGTAAGGTCCACTTTTGTAAGGAGCATATACAAATACCAGCATAATTTAAGTGGAAATATTGTTACCTTAAAATTATGTCAACAAGGGAACCAGGGAATGTTCTATCCATACACATAATTCTAATGTTATCCACATCCAGCATGGGAAAAGGCTATTCTGTATATGGTGCATTACCTATAGTTTGGTTTCTAGCTCAATCATTGGCAACTGTTGCAATTGACTTCTTGTGACCTGTCTCTCTTCATACAAAGCAAATACAGGTAAGTCCTTGATTTATGACTGGTCGTTTAACGTGGTTCAATGTTCCAGCAGACCTCCCCCAAGAGATTTACAACTCTGTTCTAACAGAAGCGAGTACACATACACACACACACACACACAGTTTCATAACTGCATTTTGAGTACATTGCATTTATGGCTGTTTGCAGCATTTTGTGGTCACATAACCACAATTTACAACAATTTTGCTGAAACCTGGCGTTTACTTCCATTTTTTGTAAAAGTGCCCCATAGTGAACAATCACTTAATGACTGTGACATTTGCTTAATAACTGGAGTGGCTTTATGACTACAGCATTTGCTTAACAAGTCACCAAAAAACTCTAAAATTGAGTCCATCATGTTAGTGATTTGCTTTATGATTACCAGGAAGATGGATATTTTATATATCATTATGTATACTTGAGATACCTTACAGATATATTTATTATTTTTCAGTAAACATTCAATCTTTAGAATGCTACTTTCTTCAAGTTCTTCTTAAATCATTTGATATAAGGACATATAATTATTTGATATGAGCACACTAGCATAAATTTGTTTATATATCATATAAAAATGTGTATTACTAAAGTGCAACTTAAGTACGACATTTGCTATGAATCTGGAACAGAATAACCCTACCCATCAACCCAGACATGCAATAAAAAAGAGTTCATGGATATTTTTCAAGTTATTGGGAGGTGAGGCTTTCTACTTTCTTTATAAGGAAATGGCACTGAGATAAAAATCAATTTGTATTACTGCTGAAAAAATATTTGGTTGCATAAAGTAGACTTAAACAAGCCTAAACTAGATAGAAGTTGGGTGCCCTGAAAGTAAAAAAAGAAGCAATTTTCACACCTTAATTACAAAATAAATTATCTTCATGTGAGACATGAGATAGAGTTAAAGTTGTGAATCTAAAACAGAAACCCTGCCTACAGCAGAAGAAACAAAGTGTGGGGATGCTCCTATGGGCTTCACTGACATAGCTAGCTTCACAGCGCATATACCGTGTTTCTCCAACAATATGCCCTCCACCAATAGGAAGACCCAGCATGTTTTCTAGGCATAAAATCAAATTAAGCCCCTCCCCCCAAATTTAGGCCTAGTTTAAAACATGCAAAATGGGGGGGGGGGAAATTGCCGTTAGGAGCGCCCCGCGGGCAGCAATTCTTCGCCACCAGCTGCTCCTAATGGGCGATCATGGCAGAGCGCGGAGAGCTCCCTACTCCCACCAAACACCTTTGCTGCAGACCCAAGACCTTTGGCACCTGCCGCTGTTGCTTTCCCTTCTGCCCATTCCGCCGCGTTTGGAGCTGCCATTTCTGTGTTTGGGGTGCCGCCGCCATTTGGAGCACCGCCGCCACGTTTGGAGCTGCCGCTTCTGTGTTTGGAGCTGCCGCCGTGTTTGGAGTGCCACCGCCATTTGGAGCACCGCCGCCACGTTTGGAGCTGCCACTTCCGCATTTGGAGCTGCCGCCGCGTTTGAAGCTGCCGCTTCTGCATTTGGAGCCCCACCACTGTTTGGAGCACTGCTGCTGTTTGGAGTTGCCATGTCCGCATTTGGAGCTACTGCCGCGTTTGGAGCTGCCGCTTCCGCGTTTGGAGCACTGCCGCTGTTTGGAGCACCACCGCCATTTGGAGCGCCGCTGCCACTCCAAACACAGCGGCAGCTCCAAACACGGAAGCGGCAGCTCCAAACACGGAAGCGGCAGCTCCAAACGTGGCGGCAGTGCTCCAAATGGTGGCGGCACTCCAAACACGGCGGTAGCTCCAAACATGGAAGCGGCAGCTCCAAACGTGGTGGCGGTGCTCCAAATGGCAGCGGCAGCTCCAAACACGGAAGCGGCAGCTCCAAACATGGCGACGGAATGGGCAGAAGTGAAAGCAACAGCGGCAGGTGCCAAAGGTCTTGGGTCTGCAGCAAAGGTGTTTGGTGGGAGTAGGGAGCTCTCTGCGCTTCACCATGATCACCTGTTAGGAGCGGCTGGTGGTGAGGCTGCCCGTGGGGCGCTCTAGATGAGGAAGGGGGGGAATTAAGTCACCCCCGAAAAGACGGCCTAGCCGTTTTTTCGGGGGTCAAAAAAAAATAAGGCCCAGCCTTATTTTATGAGAAACATGGTATATATCCTCCCACCCCCCACCCACAAGACAGCAATGGGAAATATCTAGTCCACAGGCCATGTCCAAGTCTAAATCCCCCTTCATCAGAACCAACAACTCAAGATATTACCTGAAGTGTTTGAAATCAGTGCTTGCAGTAAGTTGAACAATCTGAGAGGAGGAAAGGCTTAAACCTCACTTCCTTCATAATTCCCCCTTCCCTAAACTGCTCAACCTTGGGTAGAGTTAAGGAACAAGGAAAAAAAGACCTCTTCTCATTCCTATTTTTAGTTTGTGAAAGAAAAAGGATGGGAACAGTATTAAATATAACATGCATTCCCACAGGTTTCCGTTGGGACAATGTGATCCATGGGCTTATTCATTTTACTTGCTATATAGCACTGCCATTTCAATGGTAATGAACTGCTTCTTGTTGTTATTCTGCTGACGCACAGAACTGCGATACAGCATAATTCAACAAGTGCAATGCGCATCACTTCTCAGAATTCTCAGCAAAGGACTCACTGGTTGAGAAGTTCATGGGGCTGCAGACTTAACAAGGGTAGACCAAGGCCAATGATATTCTCAAAAACTATAACGAGAAATATTGGAAATACTGTACATACACCACACTGTTAAAAAATCTTGAACTTGTCTTTTAATGCGCTGCTACTTTAGTGTCACAGTTTGACAACTGAGCCACAGCCACGTATAACTTTTGGCTGATACCTAAAGAAAATTATTCAATCAATCTGGCTTTAGCCTTGTGAACTCAGGAACATGTATTGTCTTGATTATACACACAACACTCTTTACTCCAAAAGCTATGAACATAATTCATAAAGAATCTGATTTCATATACATGTTGAAACTTTAAATGCTCGTCCCTTAAGTAAGGATGGATTAATTTAAGACTGAAAGCCCGTTTTCTATAGATCTAAAAATCCATCAAAACATCTCTCAATAAAGAGAGGAATTTATCTGATTCTAATCCATACTTCACTAGTATTCCATTCTAACATTAAAATGCAAGTTATTCTAGTGAGTGATATTTACTACAGTGAAATTTACTATCCATTTTGGGAACAGCACTGTGTTTACCTAGATGACAGGAGAAAAATTAGAAAGGAAAAGGTGACTCTTCATCCAGCTCTTGGCCAAGCTCCAAGACTTGAACATCTGGATAACCAAATACCACCTAAATTCAAGTCTTTACGGATAGGTACTTTCTCAAATGTAGTGGGGTTAAGCCCTAGCTGTCAAGGAACTTCAGGATTAAACCATCTTTTGGGAAATGGTGACATTTAACACATACAGCAGCACTGTATTGAACTCTTAATACATTTCCGCTATCCACAACGTATAAATTCTTCTTCCAATAAGTTTGGCTTGGGCTACAAGTTTAGTAGTTTACGTTTGATCAATGAAAAACAATTAGCACAAGTTTTAAGATAACTCAAAAACATCCGTTAGTCTCAGAAGATGCTCTTGAAGCAAGACTTTTTGCCGGCAGCTACATAATTCACAGAAATTCTGATCAAATTTATTCTGGTCATGAATAAGAACACACTTCTGATATTAAACATAACTGATTTAATGTCAACCAAATGAAGGTCCTCAGAACATGGATGTCTGCAACTCTTCCTTAAACATGCCTTCAAAGCGGAGATCTTTAGCCATGAGTTCTTCCTCAACATCCTCCAGTGCCCACTGGTGGTCAGTTAGTTCTAGAGCCTCCCATTCTGTCTGTAATGGTAAAAAAAGAGCACTGATAGGACCAGTAGAATACACCAAATAGCTACCCTGGCTCTTTTGAAATTGATGGAGAGGTCTTGTTCAATATCATGTCTTACGAGTTTTAAATTTGAGCAGTTGGGTATATATCCATGATTAACTTATTTAAAAATTGCCTGAACATTTAACCAGCAATCTTACTGGCCAATATGTCAGTTGGTGCCAATGCTTAACATATTATAATCATGGCCACATTTTGCATAACATATCACTTTTATCCAAATAAGATTCATAGGGACTTTGATGTTGTTTTCTCTCAATAAAAATGAACACTGAAGTAGCTCTACAGATTACCAAGTAAAGTCCTCATATTTCCACTGTGCTCACAACGTAAACAAATTCAGTCATGTGAGTTTCTTCCCAAACTCTCCAAAGCACTGATCGAGTTTGTTGAGCTTAGTTGCTGCTCTGAATTAACTGAATATTTTGATACCTGCTAAATTAATAAGCAGTTCGCGTGAATGGTGTTTTCACTGGCAATATGCCAATACATTTCCAAAGAGTTTCAGTATAGTTAAAAATACTTTTTGTGAATATGAATTTTTAATGTAATTATTGTCTAGAGCAGTGTTTTCCAACACATAGCCCCTGGATCCTCTTGGGGAGAGGGGTCTGGGAAATCAAAATTATTTGCCAGCCTATGTTGAAAAATAATACTAAAATTAAATGAGATAATCGTGAGATGCAGTAAAAGTGTTAAATTTAATTTTTAACACAATAAATATTGATAAACCAATAAATATTGATATAACCCAAGCAAACAAAAGCTTGTTTGGGATCATCAATAATTTTTAAAAGTAGAAAAGGGTCCTGAAAGAAAATCTTTAAAAAACACTGTTCTAGAGAATTATTTAGCAAGCATCCCTGCTATGAATTCCAGATTAGCATGCTCTATAGCTATTCTTTCTTTAAAAGCATTTTCCCTGAACATTCAAGGAAATGCTACCTATGATTTGAAGAATTAATTTCAGCAATTGGAAAAAAGTCTTGTACCTTGAATGCTTTATTGGTATCTGCAGGCATGGCCATGGCTGCTCCTGTCATCTGCTCCTGCATTACTCTGGACTGATCAGCAGCTAGAAATATGAAAACAAGTGGATAGTTATAGTATATTCTACAAGCACCCTAATATAAAAGATTTTTTGGAAGGTGATAAACCAGCATTCATCTCTGTAAGTAATGAAATATCCTTTCAGTGTTCAGCCAATTATGTATAAACAACAGGCCCAGTTTTCTTTAGCATTAAAACTGAAGGCTAAAAGCTTTACACCTAAGTAGGACTAAGGAAGTACATTTTAATTTGCAGATACTAACATGAATAATTTGATTTGCAATCATAACACTTAAATTATTTCAAACAGAGTCAGCAGAGAGAAACATATTTAGGATAGAAAAATAATAGTTATGAATTCCAAATTGCATAGTATGTATGAATTGGGTTTCTCACAATCCTTTTGAATTAAAGCTACAAGCAAGTATTTTCTTGAATGGATGCAATTTATGTCAAGTCATGACTCATTCAAAAGGTAATAGATTAGTAATCTCCTGAGGATTGAATTGATTGAATTTTTATCTTGTCTTGTTGTAAAACTTTTAAATGACAAAAAATAACATACCATTATCTTGGCCAAGAATGAGGGTATAAATGCTTCTAAGTCCAAAGACATTTAGAAAATACCAAGAAGCTGAGCTTACCCTAATAAATCAAAGAAATTATGTGTTATTTAAACAATAAGGGCTCCATGTACAAGATCCTAGATCCGCTTCAAATAAGGTCAAAGAATGAAAAACTCTTACCAAGATGCATCCAAAGTAAGCAGTTCAATACCCTGTTGTAGCATTGGTTTAAAACGCAATGTCAGAGGAAAGGGGACTTTTGCTGCAAAAGTTTAAAAAAAAATCTGTTAAAAAGAGAATTATTCTGTATGGCACATTGCCTTATAAAAGGAGATATATTATGAGAAGTTGCTTAAAACAGAACTGAAAAACAAAAGGAATGGAAAATTGAAAAACAGAGAGACAAGAAATGTTAAAAAAATAGAATAAGCAGAGGAAACACACTAACTATAAAGCAAATAACTCCAAAAACAAAGCAAATATGTAACAAGTGCTACATATATGTCAAGAAAGGTGCAAATTAATACAAGAACAAAGCAGAAGCATTTTCACTAGTGTAGAGTACTGGCAAACGAGAATAGCAAGATAAATTGTGTAACACATTCTTCCAATTACTTCCAAAAGAAAGATCATCTTTCCTCATATTTACCATGTTCTAATCTAAGCCATAAAGCAATCTCAGTGTAAGTTACTATTTTTGTTTCAAAGAAGAAAATTAAAGCTAACAATTATTTATGCAAGGCTCCCATAGCTCCCTCAAAACAAAAAAATTATCATCCAATAAATTAATCCAAAATTTTCACTCAAGGCTCCAATTATCTTACTTCAGATAAACTATATGAAGGCTCTAATGTTAGGTAGGGTGGAAAGAAACAGGAAGACCACCAGCAAGGTGGATGGGTTCAGTTACAGGGGTAACAGGTGCACAGTGGAGAGACCAGGTTAGACACTGAAAAAAATCTATGCGATCCCTAAGAGTTGACACTCACAAGTGTCAAGTACTTACTTAATACAAAAAATTGAAGCACCCCCCTCCCCATTGTAGAGAATCTCTAGAATGCCACATCTTGCATGCAAAGTATTTCAAGGGTTTTTGACTGTGTAGGTTTGGAACCCTAGATTGACACTCACTCGTGACAAAGCCTGAGAAGGTCATGTTGATCCAACCACCAATTAAAATCATAGGTAACACATTTGTTACATTCCCCTTCATCATATCTGTCAGCATGGTAGGATCTGCAAGGCAAACAAAAGTTCAAGTGAATATATGGCAGTTTGTCTCCACTGAAGGATTTCTGAAAAGCTTTGAATACAAAAACAGAATGAAACAAAACATCACCCTGACTTAATCTTCATTTTAATTATTTAGCCAAGTCAGTGTGGTACAACGATTGAAGTGTTAAGAGTAGTCCACCCTCACTTACAGAAGGTCACTGGATGACTTTGCGTGAATCACTCTCAGGACAATCTACCCCACAGATTAAATTCTTATGTGGGGAAAAGTTAATTGAGGGACTGTTATGTACCTTGCCATGAGGTCTTAAATGAAAGATAGGATAAAAATCAAATAATTAAATAGTATTTAAATTTGCTTTTTGAGAATGACTGGCCTGTAGGCCTATCTATAAGCTACTCTTCGTGTAAACATTGTCAATATCTCTTAAAAAATTTCAGCTACACCAGCCTAACACTGAAAAGTCTTCACATCTTTTATAAATAGCCTGTGAATTTCTTTCACTAAAATTAATGAGTGGTGTTTTTTTTAATTTTAGCCTAAATTCATTTGGAATTGTTTTAACATTAACTTGTTTAAAAATAAAAAGTACTGTATGAGTACTCTTAAGATGTACATACATAAATTAATAGATCTCAGTTGTTCTTTTTAATGGCCTTTCATTTTAAGGACATGAATGGGGCAAAGTAGCTTTTAAAACAGTAAATGGTAGCAAAGTCTTAATTATTAGGATCAGAATCTGAAATTGCACAAACTGCTTTATCCCATTCAAGAACTTGGAACATATTATTCTTGCAAAACAATTAGAGGAAAGTTCAAGTAAATGATACTAACTACATTTGTTTGAAAGAATGAGCTTAACTTAGCTTTAGCCATGATGACTACACTGTCACTCTTATAGACTAGAGTACTAAAGTAGAGGGCACCGTGACTTTGTTCTGGAGGTTAAATGTCCCTCCCACTTACTGTTTAATTCATTTAAATTTTAAATTGATAGGAAAAAAATATGATGACTGAGGTCAGAGCCTCATACATAAAAAAATGTTCAATTAATCAGGATTCGTTGGATTCATATAATTCCCTATATGTGTAGAATTCCAGAATGGCAGTAATGCTGTTGACAGAATGGTCTGATTTTGCATCTACTCCAGAAAGCAGTCTCTGTTCGACAGGACAACAGGGGCTGCTTGAGAACCAGCAAACCAGAATGTCAAACTAAACTATAGCTGAAATATACCACTTTAAAGCAAGCCCGTTTCAGACTGTATTTAGAATGCTTTGCTTAAATCATAATTTAAACCATAGTCAGTGATTGCTTGATATTCAGTAGAAAGCATAATCACAATGCAAGTTCCTGAATCATTCAACTGTATTTGTTACTCTAAAGTGTTCCGAGCTCCAGTATTATGTGTTATTTGAAGAGAGAGAGAGAGATAATAAATAAAGGGAAACCATCCCTCTTCAGATGATTCTGCACAATTTTCAAGAACTAAAGGAGAAAGATTTATCATGCAAGGTATCTAGCTTGTTTTATTTTTCTAAATAAATCAGCCATCAAATCAAATTAGAAATAGCTATTTCTAAGCCTGAAACAAAACTAAGTGTTTCTAATATCATGAATACAACTATTTCAAGAAGGCTTCTTACATACCTGTCATTGGGGAAGGAGGCACTACCTTTCTTTTAGTTTTCTTAAAGAACCCATCATCAGGATTATTGAAATAATATTTCCGGGTCAGGAAGGACTGAAGGCAAAAAGACAACATTTATCAAAGACTGGGTTTAATCTCACAACAGAATGACTAGAAAGTGGATGTTAGGGGAAGGTGATAAAACTATGTTCCAGTATGACAGGAAGAGCGTGTAGTTATGCTAACTGAAAATATGAACACTTGCTAGAATGAAGAAGTGAAAGACTGTGAATAAGGAAAACTGAATATAAAAAAATGATAGCTACAAACATGAAAATGTTATATGATGTGCATATAGAAAAAAGCTACAAATACACAGTAATACTTTTTTTTTTAAAAAATGGAACTGGATGAAAAGGGTTAAACAAAGATCTTCCAGAAAAATAAAATAGAAGTGAAAGAAATGCATAAAAAATTACAAAAAGGTCATAAATGTGAAAAACTTTAATCATAGTAAACCTGTAGTAAAGTTGGTATAACAGGCAAAACGTTAAAAGAGTGCTTAAAGAGTGGTTGTATAACCTTGCATAACATGGGTATATTATTAGACCCTATATCAAGAAAGTATACCTCCAGATGGGATGGGAGTCTGTTTCATGATCTGGCCTTTCTCACAGGCTGTTTCCTGGACTTAAAGGTCATCTCCAGAGTTTTCAACATAACCTTACTGCATTATTTCATTTTTTTTCTTGATGTTGATGTTATTTGACACTCAGCTTATACACAGCATAAATGAAAAAGCAGCTGATTATATCTTTCAAAATGTATGGTGTTCCCAGTTCTTCAGTTAGTAATATATAATCACCTTCTAGACAACTGAAATGTATTTTTAACAAGATCTTCATTAAATAATTCACCATCAGGTTCTTCATTTGGAAATAGCACCAAGTACAAAAAAGATTGGAGGATTGTCCTCTTCCCTACTTTTGATTGTTCAGCATTTTAAATTAGCAGATGTCAGATGTGATTGCCTCGTGGGCCTGGATATGCATATTAATAATAATAAAACGTTACCTTTTAAAGAGATTGAAGTACTGTATATTGAACCTTCCTGAGAACTGACGTTCTAAGAATAACTTCAAAACAATCAATATTTTTTTCTTTTAATTTTTACTCAGAATAGAATCTTGCAATTCATTTTATTGCGGTCCAAAAATAAGTCCATATGGAAAGATGTCACCCTCATTTTCCTTAAGAGCCTCTGTGAATCTAAGACTGGTACTGACTTTTGGCCCTAACCTCAAAAAAGGGTAACCCAAAGCTTATTTCCACCTTTAGTTTAATTTTCATTAGGGATGGGACTTCCCCACCCATTTTACTGAGGTCCCCAAGTAAGTCCAAACGAAAAACTGTCACCTTCACTTTCCATAGAGAACCTCTGAATGTCAGCTTTCTGACCTGACTCCAAGGAAGCATAATCCTAACACCAACCCGAATCCCAGTAACTAGTTTAATTTCCATTGGGAATATGATTTTCCCATGCATTTCACTGAGGTCCAAAATAAGTTCTAATGTAAAACTGTCATTCTCCCTTTCCTTAAGGACTCTCTGCAAACCTAACTCTGATAAGAATAGCATTTAGGCGTATATACCACCCCACAACATTTTACAGCACTCTCTGGGTGATTTACAATGTAGAAGCATTATTTGCATATTGCGCCCAACAATCTTGTGTTCTCATTTTACCAACCTCAAAAGAATGAAAGGATGAGTCAATCTTGAGCCCTGTCAGGACTGAACTCCACGCTGTGGGCAGAGTTTGCTTGCAATATTGCAATTCAACCACTGCGCCACAGATGCAGTTGGTGTTGGTATTGACTCTGATTTCGAAGGAAGCCTAATCCTAAATGGAATCATAATCTAGTTTAATTTGCACTGGGAATGGGATTTTCCCATGTATGTTCTCAAAAGCCACAAAAGTTCCCAATGAAAAACTGTCACCCTCACTTTCCTTAGAGAACCTCTATGAATCTAACCCTGATACCAGTTTTCAGTCTTGACTTGGGTCTGTTTTTAAGGAAGCCTAACTCTATTTTAATTTTCCGTGGGAGTGGCATTTTCCCATGCATTTTACTATGCTCACAAATACATCCCAATGAAAAGCTGTGACCCTCACTTTCCTTAAAGACCCTCTGTGAATAATAATCCTGACATCAGTTTTTAGCCCTGACTTCAAAAGCCTAACCCTGAATCTAATCCGTTTAATTAATGGAATTTTCCCATGTGGTTTATTGTAGCAATAGGCCAAACATACAAAAAACCACCCACACATATTTGCCAGAGCCTGTGTGAATTTAAGCCTGAGGTTGGTTTTTCGCCCTAACTTCAAGGAAGTTTTAACTCTAACCCTAATTTAATTTCCATTTGGAATAGGATTTTCCTATGTATTTTCTATGCTCTAAAAAGTTCAAATGTAAAGGTGCCACCTCACTTTCCTTAGAGAGACCCTGAGAATCTAACCCTATGTCAATGTTTGGCCCTGATGTCAAAGAAGCTTAACTCTTATTTTGACTGGGAATAGGTTTTTCCCCCAGCATAGCCCGTGATGGCGAACCTATGGCCCCAGCTCAGCTACACTGCACATGCATCTCGCCAGCCAGCTGGTCTTCAGGTCTCTGCCACACATGCATGGGGGTGGACCGCATGCACGGGGGGCAGGCCGCATGCACGGGGGATGCACGTGCATTGCATTTTGGGCATGCGTGTGCGCACACACACTTTGGGCACTTAGTGCCAAAAAGGTTAGCCATCATTGCCATAGCCTATAGCTTTAACATAATTAGGCCTTGTACTCCCAAAGATTAGCCACTCAATAGTGGCTACAACAAATTTGTTAAACACAATTTGTACCCATTTGTAAGCTCTGCAAAAGTTCTCCAAATCTATTCTGGTTGATCAGGGTGAAGAATGTGAATTAATTGTTACTTTCTCTCTTTTGGTTTCTAAATATAAAGCCAAGATGCAGAACTGGCCACAAAATGTGTTATTTTTGATGCAAGATTTCTTTCTTTTCTTTTAGTTTTATATTTTTATTACATTTTTCTTTTTTTACATATCTCAATTGATATTAAACAGTGCTGTGACATTTTTATACAACTACATTCCATATCCAATACAGTCTATACATTCTATTTCTATATCTTCTACATCTATAATATACATTTTCTTTTCTTCTTTCTATTCTCTATCCAATCGTACCATTTCTCCCATATTGCATAATATTCAGAATCTTTTCCTTTTAATTCTATAGTCAACTTATCCATTTCCGCGCATTTAATTTTTTTTTTTAATTACTAGGCCTTCGGATGGTATATATTCTTTCTTCCAACACTGCGTAAAGGCGATCCTAGCTGCAGTTATTATATATAACACCATATAGCAAGATTTCTGATAATCCAGATTTTGTTTTCACTCCCTGCAGCTGTTAAATATGAAAGGATATGAAAAGCTGAGAGGGAAGCTAAGTATCCCATGCAAGGAAGCTCTGACTTTCATTGGACTCCTAACGAGTATTTTTATTAACAAGTCTACATGAAAAAAATAAAAATAGTAATAATTCTGATAAAGATACCCAGCTAATTACAACAACGGTGGCTGGAACATTAGCTAACATGAACAGGAACTAGTTAATTGGAAATGGGTGGATTTCTCATTCATTTTGCACAGGTACCACAGTTAGTACCATAACTATGTTTACTGGAAGATCTGGTTTAGTCAATCAGGCAAACATACGTAATAGCTTTTAAATTCAACACACAATAATAACAATTTCACAAATAGGAACCTCTTACATACCTGCTTTGGAATGTACTTTCCATTTTCTCTGAGGACTCTACTTCGAATGAGAACTTGACTGAAACAAAACAAGACCATTACATAAAATAAGAAAGAAAACAGGAAACCAGCAAAAAGATGCACTTGTATATGTTACATTTGGGCAAACTGTGAGAAAATATCTTAATGACATTAACAAGACTAGTTTTCATTTACCACTTAACATTGTCTTGAAAATATTAAGGAAAGACATGGAGCAATATGTCAATATAAATGTGTTAGTTGAGAACTATTTCCTTCCTTTATGCTGACACCGTCAAACAATGTTTTATATTTACCTGTAATAATGCCTTCATGAATTCATGCCTCAATAAACAGTTTTATGTTTAAGATAACACAAGCCTTAAACATCTAAAGGTAGAACTTAACAGTTATGAATCAGTCTGCTATTTTGTAGAAATCAAATCATATGTAGATCTTTACTAATAAACAGCAATGAAGTTTGGTGCCTATTTCATTTATTTCATAGCTGTTCTACTTGCAATAAGCTATTAGGAAATAGGATTTGTTTGCACTTCCTTTACGTGAAGTAACAACTGAGTGCTTTCTTTTTTTTTATTTAAGTTTTTATTGGTTTTTAAAAACAAACATAAACAAACAAAACATAAAAACATCAAGCCATCTTCCATATGTATACATACAATGTGCCGGTTGGTTTACAAATTGTTT